AAATATACTGAGTATAATTATTTAAAATATCAATCTTTGTACAAAATTCTTTAATGGTAAATTAAACTTTGGCTCAAGATACTATTATATTTTATGTGCCATAAAACCCTTAATTATTATTACATATCAAATGGTGAAATTCTCAATGAAAAGGAATATTATTGTAATGAACTTGTTATATAGTCACAAATGTAAAGATATTTAAAAGTCTAAAATATTTAAAAATGCCTAAGTCAAGCAGTTATACTTTTTAAATGTTTAACCTGGGTTTGCCTTTTTGAACCTTTAATAACATGCCTTTAAGTATCTTTATATGTCTATGTATTTTACTATTGGAATTATTGATTACAAACATCAAGTACTATTGTCAACTCCTTAATCAAACAGATCAGATGGACAAGCTCACTAAGTCCCGCATCCATATACTTTACCAGTTTGACAAAAATAAATAAAATAGTCATTTTAAAGATAAAAAAGACTGGAATAACTGGGATTTTGCACTGAAGTGATATGACTATCTTAAAATAGAACCTCTCTACAATAAGTTTTCTGTTTCCAGGTATTTTAAAAAATTATGTGTGTGTCTATAGAACATTTACCAAAAAAACCCCACCCAAAAGGTTTTTTGTAGTGTAAAAACGTGCATTGTGTGCATAAAATGTTTTATTGTACCCCTCAGTGTCATCTCTCTTTTTTTTTTTCAAATTATACAACACATAGAAAAGTAAGAAAATCCAGCTTCAGTGTCTAGGGGTCTGGTCCAAACCCCAATGAAGTGAATGGGAGCTCTTCCACTTACTTGAGTAGGATTTCAGTTAAACAATATGTAAATACTTTGAAGTATCAGAGCAAACTACCTCCCTAGGTGGGGGGAGGGAAAGTGCGTGTGTATGTATGAATACTCAGACACACATACCTATTCACACACATAATTATTACTGTTACATTTTTAGCAAGCAGTACAAGTGAACATACTTTTGCCTTCCAAACAAGGCTTAGCTTGTTTTTAAAGCTTTCATACACCACCATATATATTTAAACACATATTTGCTGTTAAAATTAATATGCAAAAAGAAACATTTTTATTCTGATCAAAGATGCAACAATCAAGTCATAAAACACAAAACCAATAGCCAATCAATGTGAGTAAGTCTGCCCTTAGGCTTAAATCAAGCAAGCCATTCACTGAGCTAATGTGATGGATCTGTCAAATCCGATATAGCATTACAGACATACTAGCAACATCAAGTGAACATGCAATGACAAAATGACGATACGCCCCACTGCCATGCTTTGACTGGTTCTAACTCATGAAAATAAAATTTGATAACTTTGCCAGTTTTCTTTAAATCAGACTTAGATTTAAGCCTTTACTAGAATCTATATTTTAAATACTTTTAAAAAAATGTTATAGAAAAATCAAGTAAAATCTGTACTCAAAATTGTATCCATTTTAATTTATTTTGTATACCTTCAAAATGGTTTTCCATCAACCAACCTCTCAGGTTTAAGAGCTCAGAGGTCAAAGTTCAAGAGTGGTACAAAACATATATAGAGCTAAACTATGTGCCACTTCCTCTGTCAGCTGGAAGAGGTATTTCTTAGAAACATTTTAAACTAGACAGTTACAAATATGAAGAGTTTGATCAAATTGTTCAAAAGGCTCAACACTTTAAGTTTAATTTAATAAAGTGATAGATTGCACAGAGAAAACATGTAGCACTGCTTCCTTTCTGAAGTTGTAAAATGATTTCTTACTATATTGCTTCATAAATTAAGAAGGCTTTTCTCTTTTCTGGGTCTAAGAAGTGACTGGAGAAATCTATAAGGCCTATTTCAGTTTTGATTGAAACTGCCATTACATATGTGTGTTTTCTTCTGTTAAAAACTACTTAATTTTTTACAAGGAACATCATCTTCCCTTGCCCCCTTAGTCTCTCCCTCCAGATTAGTTGTCCATTGCCTATATCCAGCAATATTTCCAAGTGTGACAAACATGGATACCATTATATTTCCTCAGAACAGTTCTACAGCACCAATCATTATCCAATGACTTAAGGTAATGGCTCTGGAGTTCCAAATCATTCTGTTCACCTCCTGTTTTGTATTAACAAAATATGCATCCAATCCAAACAGTTCCTCTTTCCATCTTCTCACTTAGGACAGTGTGCCAAGATAGGGACCTTGTCACCCATCATGTATATGATCTGTGACCCAAATCGTTCTTTTCTTTCTTTCTTTCTTTCTTTCTTTCTTTTAAAGCGGTCTTTTCATGCTAGAGCACTGCATCACAATATAAGCTTAGTGGCATTCAGTGTGTATGCTTGGGCATTCTATTAACATATACAGTAAATATACATGGTTGAGAATGATATTAAGTAGGGACTCATGTCCACTATGAAAACTAACACTGTGAAACCAAATATGTAATACTCATGTGTAACACAACATGGCAAGTGATGGTTACATTTAGAAGAAAGGATACTAGTAGTTGCCTGCATTTCCGCATTTGTTTGCAGTATTCGAGTTTAATTCAAATTTTGCCAAATTATAGTTTGCAAAATGCTCTTAGGGAGTGATGAATCTTCTAAAAAGCCCTATTTTTCTGCATTAAAAAGCTCACATACTCTAAAGAAAATTTACCCATAGTTAAAAGTTTAATAAAATGAATAATCAAATTTGTAATTGTAATGTGAGGTATCCGTGTTTGCATATAGTTTCATATATGCAACAAAGTTTTTGCATGATTTCCTTTTTAGAATTAGTCTTAGGATTCCCTTATAGAGAAAAGCAATTAACCTCCCCAAAATTATTCATTTGGGAATAAACATTTTTAACTGAGAATACAATTTAAAAAAAAATCAAAATAAATAAATCTATTTCAGATACCTGTAATTATGCAGCAGGCTCAAGTGATTTCAATTCTAACTATACACAAAGGGTATATTTGGAAATTCAGTATAGTAGAGATATTTTTCATATAAAATAATTAAGAGTTGTAACTATTACATTACTATACATACCATCTCAGTCTTCTTTAGCAGACTTTAATCATACTATATCTTTTCTTTTATTAAGTTTTTTTCAATATCATATTTTTTTTTATTAGTCAGATTGACTCTCTCTTGTCAAACATTGTCAATAGAGCAGAAGAGGTAAAAATCTGATATTTTACCTTATGATATCTGATTTGTTTGTTTTGTTTTATAAGTAGGTACTCTAGTTGGTAATTAAATCATTTAGGCTTCAACTTGATATTATGCACTTCCCCTAAGTACTATGTAGATCTATTACCTTTCCTTATAGCAACAAGTGACCACTTTTAACTGACAAAGAGAGTTCTAAACGGTATCTGGCAAAAAAGGACTAGTAATATGAGATTATTTATGATTTTGCCTTTTTGGTTAAAAAAATTTAGGATCAGGAACGAGTTTTGCATATTAAGCTCACAAAAATATTATAGCTGCAACATGCTAACAACACACCTTTGTGGAAATGAAATGAAAACTACTGAGTAGCACTCCATATGGTAGGTTACCCTGCATAGAAAGAGTACATCGCGAACAAGGTGCATACAGCATTACAGTATTTGGTTGACATCACTGATTCGGAATTCATATAAAGAAACTTGCTTACCTGTCTCACACAGCATGCCTCAGCCACACATGCAAATTTTTTTATTCATCAAACTTTTAAAAATATATCTTCATTGCCAGAATAAGCATTTTTAAAGGCAGCTATGCATGCATAGCATTTTAACATTCACATTGTGTTCCATTTCCTCAGCAAACAAAATACAGGGGCAACACTTCATTCTAAGACATCCTTCACTAGTTTTTATTCTGTTGTTTTCTTCAGGGACCACAAACATAAAAAAGCCCAATAATAATGACCATTTTAGCACTGAATACAAGTCTAAATACATACTCAAGATGCAAGAAAATAACTAACTGATTTCAATGAGAAATTTTCTTGTGCCATGAGTACAGATATGGGCCCTGAGCTCTTTCTGACACTGTGAAGCAAAATGCACACACAGCGATTTTTTATAAAATAGATACCCACTTCTAGTGTGTGCTATAAACCCCTAAAACATGTGAAAAGTATTAATGGGCACTGCAGATTCTCCTAAGATTCAATTTCTGAAGAATGAATTTCCTGTGAATCAATACATTCTTCTTTTTCATTACAAAATAGGCCCAGATACGTTTTTATGCACAAGCCTAACTTTACACAGTGTGGCAAAATCCTAGCCTTACTGAAGTTAATGGAAGGTTTGCCATGTAAGTGGGGCCAAAATTTCATCTTATGAGAAGTCCCTCTCATTTAATAATTAAAAATAATTTAATGAAATTATTTACACTGTGTAAAATGAAACGTGTCTTATTGCAGAGTAAGGCAGAACTGATTTTAAGAAATTCTCCATTTTTTCAATGGTGTATTTAGACAATGTTGATACCTTGAATTAATAGAACTCCCCGCCCTCCACCAAAACAAACAAAAATGGGGAGGGGGGGAGTGAATCAACTTATCTTTATATAAACTCACAAATAAATGGAAGCCAGCTATATGGGAGAATTATCATTTGTCTCTGATGGCCTGAATTTCCATTGACTTCAACAGGAGTCAGTGAAAATGGAGGGTACTCAACACCTTTGAAAATCACATAATAAATTAACTGTTAAGACAAATTATTATTTTAATCAGCAGACTATTATGGAGTTGTACATTTATTCTACACTGTGCAAGGGTCACAGACGATCATTATCTTATAGTAAAGTGGCTGATCTGCAACCCAGGAATGTGTGTCTTATGCTTGATTCTTAATTAATCACTGGCTTTCTATTTATAGCTTCTCGTAACGATACAGCCTAACTTTATATACCATAGTAATCTGCAGAGCAACAAAACTCTTATGAGACTTAAACAAGGAAAATTCATAAGACTTATTTTTCACTTCCTGTATGCTAAGTACTTATTAGCAGTAAATTGGGTCTTACCTGTCACTGTAGGCAGCGGCAGTGGCAGTGGCAGGCTGGGCATACCGGTAGGCAGCATAACCACCCTGAAACACAAACTTACATTCTAATTGCATTGCTACAGCAATCTAAAGTCATATTTTCTGAAATTTCTCAGCAACTAGTTGTAATGTTCTTTTCATGCTATAAATCCATTTAAGGGGTTGAATTATATATGAAATATTTCATGAGATTGTTAAGCATAGCTGATCACAAATCCAATCAGTTCCTGCTTGTTAAGATTTAATTTGACCCAAAGATCAGAATAATCAATGGACTGCATTCATCAAAAAAGTTGAGAATTTCTTTCTTTATGGTTATAGCAGCAGTTCCCCTTATCAAAGAGGTATAGTGCAGGTTAATAAAGCCATGACAAATCAGTTAAAATAAAACCCACTACAAAAATAGATCTAATATGATACCTTGAATCTGTTTGATTACATCAAAGAAAATTTTGCTGCATTAAAACTAATTATATATAGGTTTATAGTTTGTAAATAAAATCATATCTAAGGAGGAATTTCTTTTTTCTCCTGAATTAACATTCAGCTGTACGTAACAGTAATTGCAGCTGTTCAATTAAGCAAACAGGACAAACAAACACACACATTTGAAAGGAATTGTGTGCAGTGATGCATTGATTATCAAACTGTGAAAATAGCAGAGCTTCCTGTTCAATGGACCACGGTGTTACATCAACCATTTCAAAATGATCTCAGCATGCCAATTAACAAACAGAGCCCAGTCTCCACAGATACCACAAACACCATTTAGGTTCCAATTAGAATCCACCACCCCATAATCCTCTGGGACATGGAACTACTGTGTCTCCCCATAGAATTAAAAAAGAGATGAAAAAGAAAACTAGTTGGATCACTCAGCTTTGAATGATATTCCTCCACTTGTTAACGTGAGTACTTCAATGAAGTGTTCCTATTGTTGAGGGCTCTGCTCACACTAACAATATGTAGAAATGTGAGGAATGGGCTTCTGCCTGCCAACCCTCATGAAAACAGCATATTTTAGCATATTTAATACAGCTTTTTGTATATTGTATTACTCTTCATGAAATAATCTGTTTATGAGAAACTTGACCGGGCCATAGAAGCTGCATATAGCCACTGTTCTAGAGATTCTCCACAGGTCATGCCAGCTAATCCTCATCCTCCTCAACCCCCACCCCAGTGCTTTTGTTTGATTAAATTAAAGAAAATAAATGGTGAGAACTTTTTTTTTAGTCAGTCCCATATACACAGTTTGGCTGATGATGCCACATCTGCTTAATAGTAAGCAAATAATAGTCCCATCTACACTACACACACAGCCAGACAGACACAATCTGGGCTTGAGTTTTACCTATATACTTAAGGCACCTCTTTATCTCTTCTCTTCATCACTTATTTCAAACTCTCATGTCTGTTATGGTGACTTGCTGGAAGCACTTATGTCAGGCAACCAATGGGTTTAGGTAAGTGCCATCTTTTGCAGTAAGTCCCATCTCTGTGCCAGTTAAGAAGCACTGACATGGAATACCTCCTTAATTCTGATCATCGGATACCTCAAGAATACTTGAAAAATGGAGGAAAGGAAGACAGTATTCCTACCCACTCTCTTGGCTACTGACACAACAGACTGATCTGCAGCTAGGCACATAGAATCTCATTAAACACTACTTGAAGCATCAAAAAGTATGTGCAACAACAGGCAAATACTGCCTATAAGTATCTAGTGTATGGGCAATTACATGTCAACTAATGGCATCTAGCATAACTTAAGTCACAAAGTTGTGAAGCCAGCAAAGCTCATGAGGAAAGTTTCCATTTTTTATCAAGTTGTGGTCTACTAGAAGAAGTATGGCAAAAGAATGTGTGGTTTAAACAAAATACAAGACTTTTCACATTTTTGTCTCAAACTGTATACTTAAAGATTTTGTCTTCAGAATCCAAAGCCTAAGAACGTCTGTTGGATTGTAAGTCATTCTGCAGTTCAATTTATTATTGAGTCAGTCAGTCTTGTTTATGGTCCTCATGCTTGTCACCATTGGCACAATCTTGCAAACTTTACTCAAATGGACATGTTTCTTGGTTTAATTGGGACTGATTATGGATTTGAAGGATTGGGCACTACACAGATCTATCATCATTTTCTCATTCACACCCAGATGAAATAGGCCGATGTCAAAAGTATGGCCAGATTTAAATATAGGGATGGCTTGACATGCTAGAATAGGAGGTGTTGCCAAACAACCAAGCTTGATCTTCCTTGTTACACAATTTTTTACTTAAAAATCAGGATTAAATTTGAAATAAGCCCTGAAGAGACTGCATTCAAAACTATACAAACAAATATACTTTTGGTCTGATTAGAGTCCTTTCTTATTGAAAGACTAATTACTTTTGAGGGACTAAAATTTTTGGCATCTAAATTTTGAGACTTTGATATGGAGGAACTCAGTGGGAAATGTCTATCTGAGTGTGTCATATTTGTGTATTTCATTAATATAATTTAAAAGGGCAAACTGTATAAAGATAACAAATTTGCTTCTCTTTGTTAGGATGTTCTAATGAACTTTATCGGTCTCATGTTTTTAGGTAAATGAGTATAACTAGAACTGTTTCAAAATCTTAAACACTTTAATTATTATAAGAAGATCAACAGAATTATTATAAGAAGATCAACAGATGATTTACCAGCCAAGGCCCCAGTTCAGCAAAACATTTTGATATATGCTTAATGTTAAAAATGGGAATAGCCCCAATGAAATTAAGCACTTTGCTGAAACAGGACCAGAATCTGTTATCCAAAAGGCTTGGGATAGTATGTGATGTTAAAACCACCTAAATTTGGCAGAGATATTTCCTATAAGTATAAATCTGGTTATGTTTTCAGCTTTTCAACATTGTGTATTTCTTAGATACATGATAGCCAATAATATATACATGTATATAAAATACATTCTTTTCATGCTTAATTTTATATGATTATAAAATTTCTGTTGAACATTTTAGTGCATAGCATTGTATTTTAGAGATATAATATCATGAACATTGGCAATCATTTATTTTATTTATCCAAACTCATAAGGTTAAGGATAATCTCAAAGCATATGCTTAGAAAAATTAGTATTTTTTCTGGCCAAATTAGTATTTTCATAGTACAATTATTCTATTACAGAAATCTTTTTACATCCCTGCTCATTAAAAATATGCTATCAAAATACTGGAAATATTAGACCAATATATGCAGGCACTGTTTTTCAAATTAAATGAAATCATTTATACAGTTTACTCCTTCAAATTAACAAAGCAATATAGCTGCTTATAATTTGACACTATTAGCATGTCTGTGCTAACATATTCTGGGGAAATCACTGACAGTTTCAGTGCTAGTGGTGAAGGTCCAACAATAGTGGCAATGTTGGAAATGATAGCATAGCATTTAGTGTATTAGGTTATTAGGGGTGTAATCTGAGAGCCTCTAGGGAATGGAAAAGGGCATTGATCAGCAAATAAAATGATACTGTGGAGATCAGCAAATGTAGGAATCAAGTGACAATTGCTGAAAGTCAAGTTGAAGTAGCTCTGGACAAGGAAATTTAAATAAATAACAAGCTGGCTTTAGTTACATGAATAAAAAAAGAGAATAAGTAAGGGTGATGTTGAACTGCAATACAGTCTGGATGGAAAAGAGGTTAATGATAACGTAAGGTATCTCCCCAAAACTAAATGAATAATTTGCCTCTAGTTTTGAGTAAGGATGATAGCGTGGAGCACAGGCTTAAAGGCAGTACAGGTGATGGAAATAAATGCCTACGGATGGAAATGATCACAATTGAGATGGAAGAAAAAAATTAAAGAATTTAAAGCATTCAAATCAGGGGCACCAGATAATTTCTAAGTCAGAACTCGCACGTGAGATGGCTAATTCATCAGCACAGATTTTTAATAACTATTTAATTGAGGGTAGGAACAGTCCCACTGGAAAATAGCTAACATCATACATATCTTCAAGGAAGAACAGGAAAAAGAGAGGCCCAGGCAATTATACACCTATTAGTCTGACCCCAATAGTATGCAAAGCTTTGCAATAAATTGTAAAGGAAAGAATAATTAAATTAACAGAAGTCAACGGTAAATGGGATAGAATGCAACAGAAGATCTTACCGCACTAACCTGATTTCCTTCTTTGAGAAAGGGGACTTGCAGTAGACATATAGTACTTGGACATAAAGCATCTGACACAGAACCACATGGGAAATTACTGGATAAATTAGGGAAGATGGGGATCGGCACAAGAAACATAAGATTGATAAAGAAACTAATAAAAGGAAGACGGCAATGGGTTATGCTGAAAGGTAAATGACTGAAGTGAAGGGAACTCATAAGCAGAACTCTTAAATGATCAGTCTTGGGACCAATCTTACTCAATATTTGTATTAATGACCCTGGTGCAAATAGTGGGAGTGTGCTCATGAAACTTGATGATGGTAAAAAAGTCAGGAAGCACCATCAGTACAAAAGAGGGTGGATTTTAGTACAGAAAGATATGGATGACCATAAAGACTGGAAGGAGAGAAATAGGATGAAATACAATAGAACAAAGTTCAAGGGCAAGCAGGATCTAACAACAATTTCTGCGCCAAGCTGGAGGCTCATCAGTTGGAAGCAGAGTGGAAGAGCGAGGCCTGGGTGTGTGGGTTAATTTCATGACAACTTTGGGTCACTAATGTGATGCGTCTGTGAAAAAGGAAATATGATCCTAGGATATTTCAGGCTAGGCATTTCCACTTGACACAGAGAAGCATTAATGCCATTGTAATAAGGCACTGATTAGACCTCATTTATCAGAGCTATTCAAGCTAAAATGTTGGCCAAGAAAAAAATTGATATAACCAGAAACCAACTGGAAATTAGAAGAATGTTTCTAATCATTTCACCATTATAGGGCCAGAAAAAGCCTCATAAAAAGAGATGTGGGGCATTCAACTTAATGAGCTTTAGGAGACACCTGGGCAAATTGTGCAATTATACTGCAATTGTGTGACAAGGTTACCTGTACAAAAAATCCAATTTATCAGCCACTTGGTTCACTTTTTAAAGGGACATTATTAGGGGCCTAAAAGCAAGCTATTCTGCTGAATTGGAAAGATAGAAAGTATGACAAAAGACCACCTTGGCTTAACCAGGAGATCTTGCATGATCTAAAAATCAAAAAGGAGTCATATTAAAAGTGGAAACTAGGACAAATTACAAAGGATGACTATAAGCAAACAATAAACATATGCAGGGTCAAGATTAGAAAGGCAAAAGCACAAAACAAGCTCAAACTAGCTACAGACATAAAGGGAAACAGGAAGACATTCTATAAATATATCAGAAGCAAGAGAAAGACCAAGGACAGGGTAGGCCCACTGCTCAGTGAGAAGGGAGATACAGTAACAGGAAACTTGGAAATGGCAAAGATGATTGATGACTTCTTTGTTTCGGTCTTCACCAAGAAATCAGATGATGAAGGAATGCCTAACATAGTGAATGCTAGTGGGAATGGGGTAGGTTTAGAATATGAAATTTAAAAAAAATAAGTTAAAATCACTTAGAAAAGTTAGATGTCTGCAAGTCACCAGGGTCGCATGAAATGCCTCCTAGAATACTCAAGAAGCTGATAGAGGAGGTATCTGAGCCTTTAGCTATCATCTTTGAAAAATCATGGAAGATGGGAGAGATTCTAGAAGACTGGAAAAGTGCAAATATAGTGCCCAGCTATAAAAAGGGAAATAAGAATAACCAGGAAACTACAGACCAGTCAGTTTAACTTCTTTGCCAAGAAAGATATGGAGCAAGTAATTAAGGAATTCTGCAAACACCTGAAAGATAATAAGGTGCTAGATAGCAGCCAGCATGGATTTGTAAAGAACAAATCATGTCAAACCAATCTGATAGCTTTCTTTGATAGGATAACGAGTCTTGTGGATAAGGGAGAAGTCGTAGATGTGGTATACCTACATTTTAGTAAAGCATTTGATATGGTCTCGCATGATATTCTTATCAGTAAACTAGATAAATACAACTTAGATGGGGCTACTATAAGGGGGGTTCATAACTGGCTAGCTAACCATTCTCAGAGAGTAGTTATTAATGGTTCACAATCCTGATGGAAAGGCATAACAAGTAGGGTTCCGGAGGGGAGTGTTTTGAGACCAGTTCTGTTCAATATCTTCGTCAACTAGATATTGGCATAAAGAATATGCTTATAAAGTCTGCAGATGATACAAAACTGGGAGGGGTTGCAACTGCTTTGGAGGATAGTGTCATAATTCAAAATGATCTGGACAAACTGGAGAAATAGTCTGACGTAAATAGGATGAAATTTAATAAGGACAAATGCAACGTACTCCACTTAGGAAGGAACAATCAGTCTCACACATACAGAATGGGAAGCGACTGTCTAGGAAAGAGTACTGCAGAAAGGGATCGAGGGGTCATAATGGACTACAAGCTAAATATAAGTCACCAGTGTGATGCTGTTGCAAAAAAGCAAACATAATTCTGCGATGTGGGACAGGAGTGTTGTGAGTAAAACATGAGAAGACATTCTTCTGCTCTACTCTGCACTGATTAGGCCTCAATTGAAGTATTATGTCCAGTTCTGGGCACCACATTTCAAGAAAGACGGGAGAAATTGGAAAAGAACCAAAGAAGAGCAACAAGAATGATTAAAGGTCTAGAGAACATGACCTATGAAAGAAGACTGAAAGAACAGAGCTTATTTAGTTTGGAAAGGAGAAGACTGAGAGGGGACATGATAGCAGTTTTTAGGTATCTAAAAGGGTGTTACAAGGAGGAGGAAGAAAAAATTTTCTTCTTAGCCTCTGAGAATAGGGCAAGAAGCAATGGGCTTAAACTGCAGCAAGGGAGGTCAAGATTCGGGTTTTCAGCCAGGCATCTGCAGAGATCAGGAAGAGATTTCCCAACCCCCATTCCTATTCATTCTAGGTGTTTGTATTTTTTTTTTTAATATCCTCCTCTGCTACTGGAGATGGGACATCAAATGAGGCTATCCAGGGCTCTGTGGTAGCTTAAAGTATTCTCTCTCTCAGAGGCGTGGCTGGCGGGTTCAAAAGCTATTTGGAATTTAAATTTCCATATATGGAGTCAAGAAGTAATTATTCTCCAGATTAGATTACAGTGACCTTAAGGGGTTATCCTCTGAAGCACGTGGGTGAAGGTCACTTGCCAGGATTATCTGGATATATTTTACTTAATCATTTTCTTGCAGGGTCCTTGGCCATTGATGCACCTTCGTCCCTTCCATTCTCTGCCTGTGTAACATAATAGTTAGGCTCCTGTGGGCTGCTGAGTTTTAGCATGTGCGTGGTGGAAGGTATTGGTGGCCTGTAGCATACAGGGGGTCAGACTGGATGAAAGCTCCCTTCTGGTCTCGAATTCTCTAATTATGGTAAAAAACTAGTTATGCCCTTTTTACATTACTCTTCCTCTCAATCACTACCACATGTAGAACTATAGCAGTGGCTCAGTAACAGCTTGCTTTCCCTAAAAACATACATTTTGACAGAGTCAGCATATGTCATAAAGCAGTCCTGACAATGACAAAACTCCCACTGACACTGGACTTTAAATGGGACATACAGCAGAAGAGGAAGGCAGAATTTTTAAAATGTCTGCAATTGTGTGGTATAATTAACCCAGACATAAAATGCAGCTGCATTTAATTTTGTATATGTCAAATCCCCCATTAATTGATTGTTAGTATGATTGCACAGCAATCCACATTCAATGTAATGATTTTTTTTTTCAACAGTCAGTACTTCATACCTGTGGTAATTTATTGCCATACACAGGCTCTTGATACACTACTCTATAAGGAAACAGAAATGTAACGATTTGAATGCAAAATAAAATAAAATAAATAAAAATGCATAAGTCACACAAATTACCCAAGGCCATTCGTTCACAAGTTTGCTTTCAATATTTTACAAGGCATTATAGCACAGAATAATCAAGGAAAAAGCTGAGGGACATGTACCTGGTCAGTTGCCAAGAAATCTTAGTTATGATTTAAAATGAGCAAAGAACTTCTCGAAAAAAAAAGATAAAATGGAAAATCAAACACATTTGGGTTACAAAATCAAATATGTACACAAAAATATATAGCCATCTACACATATATTATATATGCATGTGTGTGCATATATTACATATACTTATATTCATATGTGTGTGTGTGTGTGTGTATATATATATATATATACACACACACATATATATATATATATTGAGAGAGAGAGAGAGAAAAAGAGAGAACAAACTACAGTATTATTCTCTCCTAGTAAATCATTATGGTGTATTTAATTGTTAACTGAGGGCTCAGATAGCACAGTGACAGGTGTTTTTATAAATACAAATTGCTTAGATAGATCTCATGGATGGACAGATTAATTTTATTCTCAACACTTGGGACTCTATCCTATTATGGAGCTTTGCATGGATCTCCTATTATTAGAACAATAAAAGTTGCACACCTGTTGAGGGTAGATGAAAATTAATCGGCATTTCAATAGCTACTGTCATCCAAGAATCTCCAACTTTTCCAAGCATTCATTAGTTACATTACTCAATACTCTCTGGTTACTACTCATTCCTCAAAAAATTAGGTTACAGGGTACTTTCGAAAAAGGGAAGGGTTGCATGAAAACCATCATCTAGACTGCTCCCCCCCCCCTGCCGAAAAACTCTCTTCCATTAAAGGGAATGGAAGAAGATATGCAAATTTGCACCAAATCTGCATATCTTCTTTCGGAAGCTGAGAGTAGTCTAGATGTGCCCCGAGGGTCAAAGCTAAAAAAAGTCAAATGCAGAAAATGGAATATAACTCAGAAATGCCGACCCACAGTCCTCTGCTAAAATCATTACAGAACCCTTCCTATCAAATATCACCCATTAAAATAATTATAGTAGCATTCAACTGTCTTAGTGCAGCATTTACAATGGAAAATATAGGGCCTGAAAGGACTTTTCATTGTAGATCTAAGACTTCTTTTTTTTTTAAATGGGACTCTACAGCTTGGTTGAGCACCAAACAGAGTGGAGATGCCTAGCATCTGTTCCTGGATCTGCCACTATTATTTATTGTGTATTCTTAGACAACTCATTTAAGCAATCAGTAAACTGAGGAAAATGATGCATACAATGCAGTTACAGACCACTTTGAAATATTTGATGGTTGGAAAGATGACTCAGGTCCCACTCTAACAATTAGCACATACTTCAAAATGCCAGTGTGATGAATCATGAGTTCACAAGTAAATGTCAAAAGATTTGGCACTCACAAAAAAATCCAAAATTATCTAAATGTCTATAGGTCTTAACAAGGTTGCTAATTATCTTACCCATTACAAAGATAGCTTCCCCAATTATCATCTCTAATATCATTAGCTAACAGACATTTACTTCTGTTCTGAAATTTGATTTGTCCTTTTCATATGTGTTCATTTTTTTTATTGTATTCTTTGGTATATATGGTCATGCAAATTTTCTTCCACTATTTGATCTGGGGAAGTGGGTCTGGCCCACAAAAGCTCATCACCTAATAATCCATCTTGTTAGTCTTTAAAGTGCTACATAGTCCTGTTTTTTGTATAGTCTAAGAAGGTTTTGTACATTAAAAAGCTGTTATACGTCAGTTTGGGGGGGAAGTCAGACATAATTCTATCTACTTATAAGCAAGAGAACACGGAAGGGATGACTATTACACTTTGGGTATGTCTACACTACAGCGTTATTTTGAAATATCTAATTTCAAAATAGTTATTTCAAAGTATCTTATTTCGAAATAACGCATCTACACACAAAATGCATTTCGAAATAGCTTTTTGCTATTTCGAAATAGTGCGTCCAGACTAATTGGATGCTGAATCACATTTAGGGCCGGCCGGAACTGGTTCCGGCAGGACATCAGGGCAGAAGTTACCTTGTGTCCAGGGCGGCCAGCAGAGGGCTGGAGGTCCTCTATTTTGAAATAAGCATCTACACAGCACTTATTTCAAAATAGCAATTTCGAAATTGTTGCTATTCCTCGTGGAATGAGGTTTAACAATTTTGAAATAAGCCCTCTGCTATTTTGAATTAATTTCAAAATAGCAGTTGGCTTGTGTAGATGCTAGGAAAGTTATTTTGAAATAACGACTGTTATTTCGAAGTAACTTTGCTGTGTAGACATACCCTCCTACAAATAACTCCTGTTCCTTCTTCAAGAAGAAAGTAGATGTAGGCATGCATTACACCCCAACACTACATTAAATCATGCCCTTGGAGAGATGGCAATATGTTCTGGGGATAAAATCTTATCATAACCAAAAGAATGCCAGTTTCTCAGTATAGTGGCCACAATTCCATAGCCATACTCTTAATTCTGTACTTGTGTGGATTTTGTTCCTTACCCTGCAACTCATGCAGGTACCTGACAATGAGTAGGACAGATCTTACTGTGGGCAATAAAATTTAATGAGTGGGTAAGTTATCTCCTGAAGGGACATCTGAGACAAGGAATGAGGGATTTAAACACTTCATTTTGTATAATTTTTATTGCATACAACTCTGTTCTTCTTTGTTTTACTGCTCCACTGATCTCCACACATTTTAGAGAAGAGTATGGCACTCTGATATCCTTGAAGCACTCCTTCTGGCAGTGGTCCAGTGGAAAGAGTTAAGGTTGGGGGAAGAGTTGAAAACATTATTTTAACTGCATGTTTCTTTATTTTCTAATGTTTGTTTTTTATTTTGCCGAGTGCATTTCCTGATTCTCAGAGCTGTCAATTTTCATCAGGGAACTTAGGTATTCTAGAAGGGTACAAGACACCGTCAGGCAATCTTAACTCTCTTTTAATGAAGTTTTTTGTTAGTGAATCAATAGTTAATTTTAAAAGACCTTCCTTTTTTCCTAACTGTGCAATCTTCTTTTCTTTATTTTTCTTGTTAAAAGCACATTTTAAAAGGGAGTTCAATATCTCAGCTATTTCTGAGGCATTATTATGTTCCCCTTGTCATTTAGTAGTGTGCCTGTGGAATTTTCACTTTTGTGTATCTTTCTCCCTACTAGATTTATAACACTCCTCTCATTCTGCTTGACCCTTCTGATAAGCATTGATGCATTCTGGCTGTTTGTTGCCCTTAGTTTCCATACAATCTTTACCTGACTGATTATTATGTTTTACATTTCTCCCTCTTTTCTACTTCCATTACACATCCACTATCCAATGGAAAATCAATTCTGCATATGTCAGCAGTCCAAGATAACCCACCCACACTTGTTTAACCCTGTATTGTAGGAAACCTTTATTCTGAGATTATATTTCACTGAGTGGTTTTCTTCCCAGTTTTGCTTTATTTTTGTGAGTTTTAGGGTGTCTCTTCGCTCTCATATTTACTATTACCTATGATATGTTTTAAAAAAAATTCTTTTCTATTTCTTTCTGTTGCCTAGTCTTTCCACTGTCATTTTTCTCTCATTACCTCCTTTCCTCACAAATTTCTGCTCTCCATTTAAAATGGCTAACTGAGCTGGAGTTTCATGGTAATCGATTGGGAGCCGGTCGATAAGTCGGTGCTCTGCAGGGAACTAATACATTCCGAATCCTATATTTTCTCTCCACTGCTTCTCACACATGTGGCTTGCTATCCTCCTCCCTCCCCCAATATTTTAGGAGTACAAAAGAGCAAGAATGAAAAGAAAAATGATGAGCTGCATAGTACAAAGTTTTACAATATAAAAAGTAAAAATGAAATAATACATCTGTATACTATGAAAACTATATGGCGTTAACACCTTCCATCTGAGAAATGAATCTGGAAATGACAGGGTGTGGACACAGCCCTGCATCTGCGGGGAGCCCCATTTGAGTCAATTGAAGGACCAAGCCCCAATGCCCAATCAGCTTAATTGAGACTACTCACAAGATTCAAGTTAGGCACTTTCTCAAGTACCTTGCTGATCAGATTCATAGTTTCTATTTGGTACTTTGAAACCTAACATGGGGTGGAGGGAGGAGGTGCTGATCATCTTGTTAAAGAAGAAAACAAAGAACTTCTCATGTCACTGATGGCCCAAAATATGTAATTTTTTTCTTTCATCGACAGTAGGCTCCAAAACTGCCAACTCTAATTTAAACATGTAACTCCCAATG